ATAAAGATAAGAGATAAAGATAAGAGAGATGGACAGATAGAGATAAAATTAAATAGATATATAAAGATAAGATAGAGTAGATTAAATAGATAAAGATTAGAGAGATAGATGGATAGATAGAGATAAGATTAGATAGAGAAAGATAAGAGAGATAGATAAATATATAGATAGATTGAAAATAAGATAGATGGATAGATAGAGATAAGATTAGATAGATATATAAAGATAAGAGAGATTAGAGAAAGATAAGATAGAGATAGAGAAAGATAATAAAAAGATAGATAAAAATAAAATAGATTAGATGGATAGATAGAGATTAGATAGATATATAAAGATAGGAGATAGAGAAAGATAGAGATAGATAGATAGATAGATAGATAGATAGATAGATAGATAGATAGATAGATAGATAGATGATAGATAGATAGATAGATAAGATAAGATATAAAAAATAAGATAGATGGATAGAGATAAGATTAGATAGATATATAAAGATAAGAGATTAGATAAAGATAATATATAGATAAAGATAATATATAGATAAAGATAGATTAGATGGATAGAGATAAGATTAGATAAATTAGATATATAAAGATAAGAGAGATAGATTAGATAAAGATAAGATAGAGATAGATAGATAGATAAGACAGACAGATAAACCGGATTCACTTAACAACTATGTTACTAACTTAATGGCAGTGATTCACTTAACAAACTCTGCAAGAAAAATCGTAAAATGCAGAAAAACCCACTTAACAAATATCTCACTTAGTGATATAAATGTTGGGCTCAATCATGGTTGTAAATCGAGGAATACCTCTAGTGCTTTTCTTTGCTTTTCCGCACTTGATCCAGACTTCCAATTGCCGTGCACCCCGCTACAATTCAACATTTTCTTGCTGGGCTTCATTGAGCACAAACTATTACGGCTACGGTAAAACTTTGGTCAATCTGCAGTCCTCAGAAACTGAATTCTTGCATGTTCTTGATCTCTTCAGGATCAGAATCAGAATAGAGCTGGAAGAGACCTTGGAGGTCTTCTAGTCCAACCCCTTGCTTAAGCAGGAGACCCTGTACCATTTCAGACAAGTGGCTGTCCTATTTCTTCTTAAAAACCTCCAGTGATGGAGCGTCCAAACTTCTGGTGGCAAGCAGTTCCACTGGTTAATTGTCCTCACTGTCAGTAAATTTTTCCTTAGTTCTAAAGTTGCTTCTCTCCTTGATTAGTTTCCATCCATTGCTTCTTGTCCTGCCTTCAGGTGCTTTGGAGAATAGCTTGACTCCCTCTTCTTTGGGGCAGCCCCTCAAATATTGGAAGACTGCTATCATGTCACTAGTCCTTTTTATCAAGCTAGGCCCAAATCCTGCAACCATTGTTGTTTTGAATCATAATAAACATGTCCAGAATTCTCGAATAAACGTTAGATAAAGACTGTGTATTTTCCTGCACTATCAATATCCATTCTGGCCATCACATAATTTTACTATATTTAATGATATCAATCTTCTGAATATCAGGGTGGTTTTTTTTATAACAATGAAAGGATTCAGGAAAGTAGACAACACATACTTTATGTGGCTGGTTTACCAACTTCTGCGCTGAAATTACAGCCTAATATTTAAATGCAGGCTGTGTTACTCTTGGACCTTTTGAAGAGGTCAGATGCAATCCTGTGCATAATGATCATTTCTTGAGCACAAGGGTTGATGTAATGTCATAATTATATGCCTTTTAAACTTTTGGCTTATTTTGAGCACAGCAGCCAATTTACAGACAGAGTGAACACATCTAACAGATTGACATGGTCCTGATAGTCCTGATATTTAGTGTGTCATCTACTACACATCTCTCTGGCACTAAACCTTTGGCACTTTTATTTGGAACTAGCTCGATACTCGTGCTTCACTACAAAACTATGTGGCTGAGCTTAGTTTTGGGGGAGGAAAATAAGGGGGAAAAATTCTGCTTCTGCCTACCAGCATCCATCAGTATTCATCTGGCTAGCGTCTGTCAGTGTGTGAGAAAGTTGAGGGCTGTTTGGAAACTGAAGCAGTATTTGCTGTTTGAGCAAGAAGGAGACAGCAAGGAGTCTGGGCGTGGCTTAGCTCAACTGTACTAAAGCTGCTTGGTGCTGTGAAACTGAAACTGAAATTCCTCTCTTCTGTTTGTGTTTTGCATTTGGAAGAGATTTCTTTTCAGGTGGGGAGGGGGACTAGAACTCCTTAGCATCAGAGCGTGGTAATAATAATAATATAGGAAATTATAATGCTCTGATGGTCATTTCAAAAAATCCTTTCTTAGTGAGCACCTCGAAGCCAAGAGGAACATACAGGCCAAATTTCAAATTTGTAGGCTTTACAGTTCTGGAGATTTTGTGATGATGCATGGTATTTCGCTTTTATATAGATAGATAGACGTGTGCAAAAATTGCAGCTTTGGCTTTCACTGCTTATCTTAAATTTACTCCTGGATTTCTGAATTCCATTCAAGCTAGAGTCAATAAATATTTGCTTTTGTGTTTAATTTTGCGTTGCGTTATTGTGTATCAACAGTGCTGCATATTTGTGTCCATTCAACATGTAGGTTGTGTTTCAGAAGGATTTTTTTAAACTTGAATTGCAGTTCCAATTTCTGCACACTGCACTTGTGTGTTATTTAATTTGTTTGCAGTTGATGGTTATAATAGCCTCACAGGACTGGAGAACAGAGAGGCTTTTATAAACATGTGGGAAATAATGTCATTTCCCCACCTCAAAATAAACAAAATATGCTACCTGTTATGAAACCTGCTTTCTGGTTCCGTAATCGGTAATTTTCCATAATTCCGTAATTTCGTAATTTTCTGTAAAAAAAACTGAGTGCACTTAAAACATTACTCAATAAACATTACAGATGAAACCTGAATGAGGCATTTTATTACACAACCATCATTTCTACAGCTTGTTGAAATTATAATAGCTGAAAATAATCAGAAGGTTATGCCTCCTAGTGGTTCAAAACACTCAGTAAATTTTAAAAGACCCTTTTTAAAAAAAATTAGATTTCATAAATCTGATTACGGCATTCTTGCTGAATCCTGCCTTTCGGTTTCATATAACGGAACTGTTGAGTTTAGAACACCAATTCCTGAATAAATCCATAAATACAATCATAAATGAGATAGATGCCTTCCTTGAACAGATATAATAACCCGTTAGTATTGATTGTAACTAGAGTGGTGTGATAGCCTAGTGGTGAAGACACCTCACATTCAGAAGGTTGAGAGTTCAAACCTAGGATGGGTAGATATTTTTCTCTTAGGCCACAAAGAAAAAATACAGGTAGTCCTCGACTTATGACCATAATCGAGTCCAAAATTTCTGTTGTTAAGTGAAGATATTTGTTAAGT